TATTTAATGTATTTAAAAAAACCTGGATACAGCAATGAAAACATAAATCTAACATGTTATGATACATATAGTAGTAGAGGCCTATGGGACAAAAAATAAATCCACTTGGTTTCAGACTTGGTACAACCCAAAGTCATCATTCTCTTTGGTTTGCACAACCAAAAAAGTATTCTGAAGGTTTAGAAGAAGATAAAAAAATACGAGACTGTATTAAAAATTATGTCCAAAAAAATATAAGAATATCCTCTGGTATGGAGGGAATTGCACGTATCGAAATTCAAAAAAGAATAGATCTCATTCAGATCATAATCTATATGGGATTTCCTAAATTATTAATTGAAGATAAACCACGAAGAGTCGAAGAATTACAGATGAATGTTCAAAAAGAGCTTAATTGTGTTAATAGAAAACTCAACATTGCTATTACCAGAATTTCCAATCCGTATGGGCATCCTAACATTCTTGCAGAATTTATAGCTAGTCAATTAAAAAATCGCGTTTCTTTTCGAAAAGCAATGAAAAAAGCTATTGAATTAACTGAACAGGCGAATACAAAAGGAATTCAAGTACAAATTGCAGGACGTATCAACGGAAAAGAAATTGCACGTGTTGAATGGATCAGAGAAGGCAGAGTTCCTTCACAAACAATTGAAGCTAAAATTGATTATTGTTCCTATACCGTTCGAACTATTTATGGGGTCTTAGGAATAAAAATTTGTATATTCGTAGACGAAGAATAAAAAAACATTATTTGTCTTTACATTTTATCCAACGATAAAAAACGAAAACTATGTAGTACAACACTATACAGTACAGTTATAAAAAAAATTAAAATATTCTTTGTTTATGTTTAAGAAAAAAATAAGCAATTCTATAAGGTTGAATAAAAATTTTCATCAAAACTCTTTTGATACAATTGCTATGCTTAGTGTGTGACTCGTTGGTTTAGGATTCGATTAGATTAAGATAAAAAAAAAAGAACTTATCTAAAAGAGCAACTAATAATTATAGCATTAATAAATAACCTAAGCAACTCATTGCTTCGTATTATCTGGATCCCAAAAAATCAGTCAAGATATGATAGGCTGATCATATCATTGTAGCAACTGAATATAAAAAAAAGAATAAATATGATTATAAGTTATGAAAAGTAATCGAAAAGTATGCGGATAAATGGAAGAATGAAAGAAAGAGAGAAAAAATTGAATATTAATGATATATGATTCCAATTTAGAAAGTCTATGAGGTCGCTGTAAGAAAAGCAATGTAATAAAGCATCAATACAGATTCATTCATAAGAATTAGATAAATCTGTTCCGAAAACAAAAAATGAAGAGCCTTGAGCCAATAAAAACTGAGAAAATTGACTCAAAAATAAATAAAAAAAGGAAATTAAAAATTTTATGTAAGAGCTCCATTGTAGAATTCGGGCCTAATGATTAATCAAGAAGCGATGGGAACGACGGAACCATGAATATAGAGGATTCTAGTGAAAAACAAATCTTAGTAATTCATTGGATAGGATGGCGGAATAAACCAGAAACTTTATTATCTATTCTTATTTTGATTCTGAGACCTCGGAGGATAAACATCAAACTTAAATAGATATTGAAAGAGTAAATATTCGCCGGCGACAAATTAGTGTTTTTTTTTTCAAATAAAAAAAAGTAATAAAATATAAAAAAATATATATAAAAGAAAATAAGAATTTGTTAGAATATTCTAACTCTAACAAAAACTACATTCGAAATGATGATATTACGTTATTTTTAAATAAATCGAAATAGAATTCATCTTGGGTTCTATTTCGAAAAAGAAATACACAAATTTATAAGAGATAAGATTAAATTAAAAAAAATACCATTATTAATAGGATTAATCATTAACTAAATCTATATCTTAATTAGTACTTTTATTCGCGAGGAGCTGGATGAGAAGAAACTCTCACGTTCAGTTCTGTAGTAGAGATGGAATTTCTAATTTAGAAAAAACCCATCAACTATAACCCAAAAAGAACCAGATTTCGTAAACAACATCGAGGAAGACTAAAAGGAATATCTTCTCGTGGGAATCGTATTTGTTTTGGTAGATATGCTCTTCAAACACTTGAACCCGCTTGGATCACATCTAGACAAATAGAAGCAGGGCGACGAGCAATGACACGAAATGTACGACGTGGTGGAAAAATTTGGGGATTGTAGATGTTCCCTCTTTATTTCCAAGTTGTCCTGGTATCTATTACCAGTCAGAATTGGATCATAACGGGCTTTCCGTCTATACTGGCACCATAATATCAGATTGGGGAGGCAGGTTAGAATTAGAGATTGATAAAAAAGCAAGAATATGGACTCGTGTGAGTAGGAAACAGAAAATATCTATTCTAGTTCTATCATCAGCTATGGGTTCGAATCTAAGAGAAATTCTAGAGAATGTTTGCTACCCTGAAATTTTCTTATCTTTCTTGACCGATAAGGAGAAAAAAAAATTGGGTCAAAAGAAAATGCTATTTTGGAGTTTTATCAACAATTTTCTTGTGTAGGTGGGGATCCAATATTTTCTGAATCCTTATGTAAGGAATTACAAAAAAAATTCTTTCACCAAAGGTGTGAATTAGGAAGGATTGGTCGCCGAAATATTAACTGGAGACTTAATCTTAATATACCTCAGAACAATATATTTTTGTTACCACGAGATATATTAGCAGCTGCCGATCATTTGATTGGGATGAAATTTGGAATGGGTACACTTGATGATATGAATCATTTGAAAAATAAATGTATTCGCTCTGTAGCGGATCTTTTACAAGACCAGCTCGGGTTGGCTCTGGCTCGTTTAGAAAATATAGTTAAGGGAACTATAGGCGGAGCAATTAGGCATAAATTGATACCTACTCCTCAAAATTTGGTAACTTCAACCCCGTTAACAACTACTTATGAATCTTTTTTCGGATTACACCCATTATCTCAAGTTTTGGATCGAACTAATACATTGACACAAATCGTTCATGGGAGAAAGTTGAGTTATTTGGGCCCTGGCGGATTAACAGGGCGAACTGCAAATTTTCGGATACGAGATATCCATCCTAGTCACTATGGTCATATTTGCCCCATTGACACGTCTGAAGGAATCAATGTTGGACTTATTGGATCTTTAGCAATTCATGCCAGGATTGGTGATTGGGGGTCGTTAGAAAGTCCATTTTATGAACTCTTTGAAAAATAAAAAAAGCACGTATACAGATGCTTTTTTTATCACCAAGTCAAGATGAATATTATATGATAGCGGCAGGAAATTTTTTGGCTCTTAATCAGGGCATTCAAGAAGAACAGGCTGTACCAGCTCGATACCGCCAAGAATTTTTGACTATCGCATGGGAAGAGGTTCATCTTCGAAGCATTTTTCCTTTCCAATATTTTTCCATTGGAGCTTCCCTAATTCCTTTTATCGAACATAATGATGCGAATCGAGCTTTAATGAGTTCAAATATGCAACGTCAAGCAGTTCCACTTTCTCGGTCCGAAAAGTGCATTGTTGGAACTGGATTGGAACGCCAAGTGGCTTTAGATTCGGGAGTTCCCGCTATAGCCGAACACGAGGGGAAAATCCTTCATACTGACACTGATAAGATAATTTTATCGGGCAATGGGGATACTCTAAGTATTCCATTAATTATGTATCAACGCTCAAACAAAAATACTTGTATGCATCAAAAACCTCAGGTTCGGCGGGGTGAATACATTAAAAAGGGACAAATTTTAGCGGATGGTGCTGCTACAGTTGGTGGGGAACTCGCTTTGGGGAAAAATTATTAGTGGCTTATATGCTATGGGAAGGATACAATTTTGAAGACGCGGTACTCATTAGTGAGTGTCTAGTATATGGTGATATTTATACTTCTTTCCACATACGGAAATATGAAATTCAGACGCATGTGACAACCCAAGGTCCTGAAAGGATCACTAAAGAAATACCGCATCTAGAAGGCCGTTTACTCCGAAATTTAGACAAAAATGGAATTGTGATGCTAGGATCGTGGGTTGAAACGGGTGATATTTTAGTAGGTAAATTAACGCCTCAGGTGGCGAAAGAATCCTCGTATGCTCCGGAAGATAGATTATTACGGGCCATACTTGGCATTCAGGTATCGACTTCAAAAGAAACTTGTTTAAAATTGCCTATAGGTGGTAGAGGTCGAGTTATTGATGTGAGATGGGTTCAGAAAAAGGGGGGTTCAAGTTATAACCCAGAAATAATTCGTGTATATATTTCACAGAAATGTGAAATCAAAGTAGGTGATAAAGTAGATGGAAGACATGGAAATAAAAGTATCATTTCAAAATTTTTGCCTAGACAGGATATGCCTTATTTGCAAGACGGGAGACCCGTGGATATGGTCTTCAACCCATTAGGAGTACCCTCACGCATGAATGTAGGACAGATATTTGAATGCTCGCTTGGGTTAGCGGGAAGTATGCTAGATAGACATTATCGAATAGCCCCTTTTGATGAGAGATATGAACAAGAGGCTTCGAGAAAACTAGTGTTTTCTGAATTATATGAAGCCAGTAAGCAAACATCGAATCCATGGGTATTTGAACCCGAGTATCCAGGAAAATGCCGAATTTTTGATGGAAGAACAGGAGATCCTTTTGAACAGCCTGTGATAATAGGAAAGCCCTATATCTTGAAATTAATTCATCAGGTTGATGATAAAATACACGGACGTTCTAGTGGACATTATGCACTTGTTACACAACAACCCCTTAGAGGCCGTTCTAAGCAGGGGGGGCAGCGGGTAGGCGAAATGGAGGTTTGGGCTCTAGAGGGATTTGGTGTTGCTCATATTTTACAAGAGATGCTTACTTATAAATCTGATCATATTAGAGCTCGCCAAGAAGTATTTGGTACCACTATCATTGGAGGAACAATACATAAACCAGAAGATGCTCCAGAATCTTTTTGATTACTTGTTCGAGAACTACGATCTTTGGCTCTGGAACTGAATCATTTCCTTGTATCTGAGAAGAATTTCCAGATTAATAGGAAGGAAGTTTAATCGGAATGAATCACAAAATTTCTTATATGATCGATCGGTATAAACATCAACAACTCTGAATTGGATTAGTTTCTCCTCAGCAAATAAGCGCTTGGGCCACTAAAAAAATACCTAATGGAGAGATAGTTGGAGAGGTGACAAAACCCTATACTTTTCATTACAAAACCAATAAACCGGAAAAAGATGGATTATTTTGTGAAAGGATTTTTGGGCCTATAAAGAGTGGAATTTGCGCTTGTGGAAATTATCGAGTGATCGGAGATGAAAAAGAAGACCCAAAATTTTGTGAACAATGTGGAGTTGAATTTGTTGATTCTCGGATACGAAGATATCAAATGGGATACATAAAACTGACATGTCCTGTAACTCATGTATGGTATTTGAAATGTCTTCCTAGTTATATTGTGAATCTTTTAGATAAACCTCTTAAAGAATTAGAAGGCCTAGTATACTGCGATGTGTGATTTGATCAAATTTTTATTTTACAGATTAAGAATGATAAACTCTCATCCCCTTCAATCAATTTGGGATGCCCTCGATCTGACATGTCTCTTTTCTTTAAAGGAGTAACATGAAGCTCAGAATTGTGGGTGTATTCAATACTCCCAAATAAAAAACGGCGATTGGTCTATGGTCGATTCAGTAAAAAAAACAAAGTCAAATTGATAGTCGTACCTCGTGAAAAAAAAACCTTTTTTTGTCGAATTAAGTATTCCCCTATCTTTATAAAAGAAAAGAAATTTGGTTTTTTATATTTGAAGTAAACAAATATGTCATGGTTGCAGAAGCCTATACATCGCATATAAGCTTTAAGAATATTGTGGCATAACCATCGAGGTGATGCAGGACCTAAAAGATCGAATAGAACAATACATAGACAAATAAATCCCTTATGAATTCTAAGGCATTCCTTTCACTTAAGGTAAAGAGTATTCCGGCATTCGAAGGGAAGTAGACTACTCAAGAATTTTACATTTTTTGGTCAAAAATTTGAATTCACTAAGGAATCTAAATAGAAATAAAATAAGAATTAATTGAATCAATGAAATGTTGGTTGGTTTGCACTGAGAACTTGAGTAAGGCGTAGATTATTTTTGGGTTTTTCACTTGATTTTATAAAATGCAATTTGAAAGCGAGACCCCTTTCTTTATCTTTATTTGGTATAACTACTTAAGCCGGATGAGAGGAAACTTTCATGTCCGGTTTTGAGGGGGGGAGATCATATAATGGACCCTATCCCAATTTTTCTTTTGCTAGGCCCATAACTAAAAAACCTACTTTCTTACGATTACGAGGTTCATTTGAATATGAAATTCAATCCTGGAAATACAGTATCCCACTTTTTTTTACTACTCAAGGTTTCGATATATTTCGAAATCGAGAAATTTCTACTGGGGCGGGCGCTATCCGAGAACAATTAGCCGATTTAGATTTGTGAATTATTATAGAAAATTCATTGGTAGAATGGAAACAATTAGGAGAAGAGGGTCCCACGGGGAATGAATGGGAAGATCGAAAAATTGTAAGAAGAAAAGATTTTTTAGTTAGACGTATGGAATTAGCTAAACATTTTATTCGAACAAATATAGAACCGGAATGGATGGTTTTATGTCTCTTACCGGTTCTTCCTCCCGAGTTGAGACCCATCATTCAGATAGAAGGTGGTAAACTAATGAGTTCAGATATTAATGAACTCTATAGAAGAGTGATCTATCGGAACAATACTCTTACCGATCTATTAACAACAAGTAGATCTACACCAGGCGAATTAGTAATGTGTCAGGAAAAATTAGTACAAGAAGCCGTGGATACACTTCTCGATAATGGAATCCGTGGACAACCCATGAGGGATGGTCATAATAAGGTTTACAAGTCATTTTCAGATGTAATTGAAGGCAAAGAGGGAAGATTTCGCGAGACTCTGCTTGGCAAACGGGTCGATTATTCGGGGCGTTCGGTGATTGTCGTTGGACCTTCACTTTCATTACATCGCTGTGGATTGCCTCGCGAAATAGCAATAGAGCTCTTCCAGACATTTGTAATTCGTGGTCTAATTAGACAACATCTGGCTTCGAACATAGGAGTTGCTAAGAGTCAAATTCGTGAAAAAAAGCCGATTATCTGGGAAATCCTTCAGGAAGTTATGCAGGGGCATCCCGTATTACTGAATAGAGCACCTACTCTACATAGATTAGGTATACAGTCATTCCAACCCATTTTAGTGGAAGGACGCACTATTTGTTTACATCCATTAGTTTGTAAGGGGTTCAATGCAGACTTTGATGGGGATCAAATGGCTGTTCATGTGCCTTTATCTTTAGAGGCTCAAGCGGAGGCTCGTTTACTTATGTTTTCTCATATGAATCTCTTATCTCCAGCTATTGGAGATCCCATTTCTGTACCGACTCAAGATATGCTTATTGGACTCTATGTATTAACGAGCGGCACTCGTCGAGGTATTTGTGCAAACAGATATAATCCATGTAATCGAAAAAACTATCAAAATGAAAGAATTTACGAAACAAACTCTAAGTATATGAAAGAACCCTTTTTTTGCAATTCCTATGATGCAATTGGAGCTTATCGGCAGAAAAGAATCAATTTAGATAGTCCTTTGTGGCTTCGGTGGCAATTAGATCAACGCGTTATTGCTTCAAGAGAAGTTCCTATCGAAGTTCACTATGAATCGTTTGGTAACTATCATGAGATTTATGCACACTATCTAATAGTAAGAAGTGTAAAAAAAGAAACTTTTTGTATATATATTCGAACTACAGTTGGTCATATTTCTTTTTATCGAGAAATCGAGGAAGCTATACAAGGTTTTTCTCAAGCCTGTTCATATGATACCTAATAATATGGTATTAAAAAAAAGTAATTCTAGGACACCGTGTGAATTCGGACCTCTCCGATTCAACTCAGAACATAGTTCCTGACCTAAAATTCTACGCAAATCAATATCGAGAAAAGGAAGTTTTGCAATCATTGACTCAAACTCATTGTCGAATCCCATTCAGCAGAATATGGAGGTACTTATGGCGGAACGGGCCAATCTGGTATTTCACAATAAAGTGATAGATGGAACTGCTATTAAACGACTTATTAGCCGATTAATAGATCACTTCGGGATGGCATATACATCACACATCCTAGATCAAGTAAAGACTCTGGGTTTCCAGCAAGCCACTGCTACATCCATTTCATTAGGAATTGATGATCTTTTAACGATACCTTCTAAGGGCTGGCTTGTTCAAGATGCTGAACAACAAAGTTTGATTTTGGAAAAACACCATCATTATGGGAATGTACATGCGGTAGAAAAATTACGTCAATCTATTGAGATATGGTATGCTACAAGTGAATATTTGCGACAAGAAATGAATCCTAATTTTAGGATGACGGACCCCTTCAATCCAGTCCATATGATGTCTTTTTCGGGAGCTAGGGGAAATGCATCTCAAGTACATCAATTAGTAGGTATGAGAGGATTAATGTCGGATCCCCAAGGACAAATGATTGATTTACCTATTCAAAGCAATTTACGCGAAGGGCTGTCTTTAACAGAATATATTATTTCTTGCTATGGAGCCCGTAAAGGAGTTGTAGATACTGCGGTACGCACATCAGATGCTGGATATCTTACGCGGCGACTTGTTGAAGTGGTTCAACATATTGTTGTACGTAGAACAGATTGTGGCACTATCCGAGGGATTTCTGTGAGTCCTCAAAATAAAAATCGGATGATGTCAGAAAGAATTTTTATCCAAACATTAATTGGTCGTGTCTTAGCAGACGATATATATATAGGTTCCCGATGTGTCGCCTTTCGAAATCAAGATCTTGGGATTGGACTTGTCAATCGATTCATAACCTTTGGAACACAATCAATATCTATTCGAACTCCCTTTACTTGTCGGAGTACATCTTGGATCTGTCGATTATGTTATGGTCGGAGTCCCACTCATGGTGACCTAGTTGAATTGGGGGAAGCTGTAGGTATTATTGCGGGTCAATCTATTGGCGAACCGGGTACTCAACTAACATTAAGAACTTTTCATACCGGCGGAGTATTTACAGGAGGTACTGCCGAACATGTACGCGCCCCTTATAATGGAAAAATAAAATTCAATGAGGATTTGGTTCATCCTACACGTACACGTCACGGGCATCCTGCCTTTCTATGTTATATAGACTTGTCTGTAATTATTGAGAGCGAAGATATTATACATACTGTGACTATTCCACCAAAAAGTTTTCTTTTAGTTCAAAATGATCAATATGTGGAATCAGAACAAGTAATTGCCGAGATTCGCGAGGGAACATACACTTTTCATTTTAAAGAGAGGGTTAGAAAATATATTTATTCTGACTCAGAGGGCGAAATGCACTGGAGCACTGATGTATCCCATGCACCTGAATTTACATATAGTAATGTCCATCTCTTACCAAAAACAAGTCATTTATGGATATTATCAGGAGGTTCATGTGGATCTAGTCTAATTCTTTTTTCGATCCACAAAGATCAAGATCAAATGAACATACCCTTTCTTTCCGTCGAAAGAAAATCTATTTCTAGCCTCTCAGTTAATAATGATAAAGTGAGCCAAAAATTTTTTAGTTCGGATTTTTCTGATAAAAAAAACTCTGGGATTCCCGATTATTCAAAATTGAATGGAATCGTAGGTACTAGTCATTATAATTTCATATATTCTGCTATTTTTCATGAGAACTTGGATTTATTAGCAAAAAGGCGAAGAAATAGATTTCTCATTCCATTCCAATCGATTCAAGAGCAAGAGAAAGAATTCATACCGCATTCAGGTATCTCGATTGAAATACCCATAAATGGTATTTTCCGTAGAAATAGTATTTTTGCTTTTTTTGATGATCCTAGATACAGAAAAAAGAGTTCCGGAATTCTTAAATATGGGACTCTAAAGGCGGACTCAATCATCCAAAAAGAGGATATGATTGAGTATCGAGGAGTCCAAAAATTTAAGACAAAATACGAAATGAAAGTAGATCGCTTTTTTTTCATTCCTGAGGAAGTGCATATTTTACCCGAATCCTCTGCCATAATGGTACAGAACTATAGTATCATTGGAGTCGATACACGAATCACTTTAAATATAAGAAGCCAAGTCGGCGGGTTGATCCGAGTGGAGAGAAAAAAAAAAAGGATTGAACTAAAAATATTTTCGGGGAATATCCATTTTCCGGACAAGACAGATAAGATATCCCGACACAGTGGCATCTTGATACCGCCAGGAAAGGGAAAAAAAAACTCTAAAGAATCCAAAAAATTGAAAAATTGGATTTATGTCCAACGTATTACACCAACCAAGAAAAAGTTTTTTGTTTTGGTGCGGCCCGTAGCCACCTATGAGATAGCGGACAGTATAAATTTGGCAACACTCTTCCCACAAGATCTCTTTCGGGAAAAGGATAATATTCACCTTCGAGTTTTCAACTATATCCTTTATGGAAATGGCAAACCAACTCGAGGAATTTCTGACACAAGTATTCAATTGGTTCGAACTTGTTTAGTCTTGAATTGGGACCAAGACAACAAAA